CGGAGGCTGGAGCTCCCCGGAGGCTGGAGCTCCCCGGAGGCTGGAGCCGGAGCCGCGGGGCAGCCCCGGATAAGCCCAGCCCGGGTGAAAGCCAAGCCCAGCCCGAGAGAAAGCCAAGCCGGGCTCAGCTGAGCCCGCAGAGCAGAGCTGGCACCCGAACCCGCTTTAAAAAAACCCGATCGTGGGGCAGGAGAACCAAGAATTCTTTGTTGAGCGTCACCCGAGAGGTTTCCCGCCCCGAGCCCTCCAACCCTCCTGCTCCTCCCGCGCTCCCGGCCAAGGATCTGCCGCTGGAGAGATCCGGGATGGAGGGAACGTGACGGGAGGCTGGAAACACGGCCCTGACCACGCACAGCTCGGGCTTTGTGCGGCATTCCCGGCAGGGGAATCATCGGCCCGGAGGAGCAACAGCTCCAGGGGCAGCAGGGAAAGGGATGGTGGGGAGGAGACGCCGGTCCTGGGGTCAGGGAGTGAGAATTCCCTGCTCCAGCCACATTCCCAGGGCTCTGGAAGGCTCTGGAAGGCTCTGGAAGCTGCACAGGCACAGGCAGCTGCAGTGAGGAGGGAAGGCGGGAGGGAGGTTCTGCCCCCCCGACCCTCCCCATCCCATCCCATCCCATCCCATCCCATCCCATCCCATCCCATCCCATCCCTCCATCCCGGTATCCCGAGGATGCTCCAGCTCTCCCAGAGCTCCCCAGACACACAAATCCCCCCCAGCCCCTTCCCTGCTCCCAGGACATTTCCTGGAGCTCTGCACGGCCTGGGAGCAGCTCCAGGGCTTGGATTTGCCTTCATGTTTCAAGGTCCTGGGTAAAGTTGAAGTTCCCAGCACTGGGAAAGCTCCTCCAGCCCCAAAAAAGCTCCTCCAGCCCCCCAAAAGCTTCTCCAGCCCCCCAAAAGCTCCTCCAGCCCCAGAAAAGCTCTTCCAGCCCCTGGAAAGCTCCTCTGGCTCTGGGAAAGCTCTCCAGCCCTGGAAAAGCTCTTCCAGCTCTAGGAAAGCTCCTCCAGCCCTGAAAAAGCTCCTTCTGCCCTGGGAACTCTCCTGCAGCCCTGGGAAAGCTCTTCCAGCTCTGGGAACTCTCCTGCAGCCCCGGGAACTCTCCTGCAGCCCAACAACAAGTGTTTTCCACCAGGAATCCTGCCCTCTCCGGCCTGCAAGCACAGGGAGGGAGGGAGGGAATCCGAGCTACACCTCTGCTAATGAACCACCCAAAACCTGTCGAGAGGCAGTGAAAGGGAACAGCAGAGGAGGCAGCTCGGCCTCGTTATGCAACAGCCTCGTTATCTAACGACCACGGACACCCTATAGGGGCTCTTTGTTTGCAGAGGGCAAGGGAGAGAAATGCCACCAGCAGCTGAGTCACCGGTTCACCGAGAGGCTCCGAGGACGTTCTCAGGTGGAAACTTTTCCAGTTTCACCTGCTAATTTGGGAGGACCGGCCGATTGCCCGGCTCCGCCCCCCGCCCTGTAACCCGGCTCCTGCCGCCCTTGCATATATAGAAAGGTATGGCCCCGCTCCCGGCCGTGGAGACGGAGCCCGGAGCCGCAGCCACCCCGAGCCCGCCGCCCTCCCGCCATGAGGAAGGAGGTCCTCACCCTGGCCTTCGCCCGCGCCGTCTTCGTGGAGTTCCTCTCCACGCTCATCTTCGTCTTCATCGGGCTGGGCTCGGCGCTCAAGTGGCCCTCGGCGCTGCCCTCCATCCTGCAGATCGCGCTGGCCTTCGGCCTCGCCATCGGCTCCCTGGTGCAGGCCTTCGGCCACATCAGCGGCGCCCACATCAACCCGGCCGTCACCATCGCCTTCCTCGTGGGCAACCAGATCTCCTTCCCGCGCGCCCTCCTCTACGTGCTGGCCCAGCTGGTCGGGGCCATCGCCGGCGCCGGGATCCTCTACGGCGTCACCCCGGCCAACACCCGCGGCAACCTGGCCGTCAACGCCGTGAGTGCCCGCCCGTGCTCCTCGGCCTGCTCCTCCGCCCTCCCTCCTCCTCCTCCTCCTCCTCCTCCTCCTCCCGAGCCCTCGGTGGCCCCGGGAGCGGCTCTGGGGGGTTGGTTTTCCCTTAGAGGGTCGAGGGCCCCCTGTAAGTTGAGGGCACTGGGAGCTCCTCTGGCTCCGGGAAAGCTCCTCCAGCTTTGGGAGCTCCTCCAGCTTTGGGAGCAACTCCAGCTTTGGGAGCTCCTCCAGCTTTGGGAGCTCCTCCAGCTC